GCTCTACCAGGTGTAACAATTGAGTTTAGCATCCAGGCATCCATGAAAACGGAATTTATGACATTTAACGGAGTTAGAAGTTAGCAGGGAGTTAGCTCGCTAGCTTCTATCTAAATACAATATAGCATGTCCTGACTGCGGGGTTTTGGAAACAAATTAAAACGTACAGCTCTGCTATCACTTCCAGCATAAATGAAGACAGAAAACTAAACAGCAGTGACGTTTGTAGGGTTACTGAAGTTGGGCTAGCTGGTATATAATGATGTGCTACGGGACCGCTAGCGACACAGCTATGTTAGCATAATATAAACAAGCTAACTTTTTTCCCACTCGATAAAAGTTACCGTGAGTGTTCTCGGTGGTCAGGAACAAATGTAATCGCATGGCAGGATGCTGTAAAAGGACCAAACTTCAGTCAGGAGAACAACTGATCCATCCACAATACGAGGTTAGTCATTCATATACTGCTGCATGGGCTGGGCTGTAGTTACATCCTAAGGTTTTAAAAACTGAGCTTAAATAAATGATTAGCGGTAATAAAAGCCGACGGAGGTCAACAGTGATCACTGACTGTTTTAGGAGCTTTTTGAGATCAAATAGAAGAAAATATATAACATTAAACATGTTAACAACACAAAAGCCATATTAAACGCAGACTACTTTAGACCCGGAAGTAGGATTCGTTGCGTCATCACTGAACAACCGGATAAGTTAACCATAGTAATTCTTCCATAGTTAATCAGCCATTCATTAGCAATTTTTACACAGCTGTTTGTGTGCTTGACTTAAGTTGTCCTTGGCTTTATGTTCAAAGATTTTTAGCATTTTTTTTATTATTATGTATCTTTTGTCATTGAGAAGCTTACAGCTATATCTGAAGAAGAAGCAGCAGGCCTAAAAAACTATCTAGACTAGATTAGAAGTATTGGAAATTTATGTCCTTAAGAATCATTTTAAAAAATATCCAGTGGAGATCTGACACAGGGCCTGAAAGATGCATTTACCAATTGCCAAAACACCAATATATAAAGAGGAGATCATGAGAGAGGTACAACAGTGAGTGCCCACAGCGATCTGTAAAACATGTTGGAGGCTCTGTCGTGGTTTGGGGCAACATTTCAGCCAGTGCAGTGGTGTCGAGGAACACTGAAAAATACTGTGAGATTTTGATTCACTGCGCAATAACATTTGTAAACCACCTGATTAGCAACAGCTTCATTTTTCCAGCATGAGAATGATCCCAAACACACTGCCACAGTGGAGGACCATCAGTAATTGATTGGCCTCCCCAGAGCCTGGACCTCAAGATTATTGAATCAGTGTGACATCATGTCGGCAGAGAACAGAGAAAAAGGCAGCCAACATCCAAAGAAGAGCTTTGCATTTCCTTCAAGAAGCCTCTCTACTTCAAGATTAGGTTTCAAATTTTCCTTTTTGATAAAGCATGTGGTTAGGGCTGGATCAAGTGACCCTGAATTCTCCCTTAGTCGTGTTGCAGCTTGCTGGGGACTTCCCATGATAGACTGAGCGCTTCTTCTTCACACACCTCTTTTCGTTCACTACGTGTTTATGCACCATTTTGCATTTAACCATTAGTTATTATTAATCTCTGGCTCTCTTCCACAGTGTATATTCTATCCTGTCTCTTGAAATGGAATTGAATTAAAAACTACTACACTACCACTACTACTAGTACATGTAACACACACTCCTATTTGTAAACGTTCACTGCATGTACAAGCTTAGCGTGAGAAAATGTCTTTGCGTGGAGAACTTTTAAATGAAGTTGTTAAAAAAGGTAGTTTCTTATGATATAAAATAGAGGCTATGAAGAGATCAATCTAATAAAAATGGAAACAACTTACTGTAGCACAGAAATGCAGATGACTCAGGCAGGTATAAAATACATTAAAATTGTAAAAACAAAAATCACACTCTTAGATGACAGTAAATTAACAAGTGACCTATCCAAAATCTTAGGTTTGTGGATTTAACACATTTGCAGAAGACTTAAGTTAGAGTTCAGTGCTGGATTTTTGACAGATGTGTACTTAAACAGACATTAAGGAGGAGATTATGTCTAATTTATGTGTGTAAAACACCTGCTTAGCTGTAGTTTAACATGAAACAGCCGACTGTATTCATCATTACATCGTCTGAGGTCATAATCATAAAATATTAACGTCATGTCAAATCTACCACCTGTTGAGTCTCCACCTTCTTTTCTTCTCTTTCTAAAGGAAACTTGCACCCTCAAATTAGCCGCGAGAAATATGTTAAACTTTTTAACCTCTGACATATAAATAATGGGGGCAGTACGAAGGCAGATTAGGAAAAAATACTATGAATAGAAGGCGTAAGAATAAAATGTGAATTTGCACGTTATATAAAATTTGGTCATGATGGGTTTTCTTCTGCACATCGTGAAGATAACTGCAACCATGGAGAATTGATAATTTTTTTTTAAGTATACAGAGGACTGCGCAATTTTAGGCAACTGCCAATCATTTTCTGTGGTCCTGCAAGAATCCTGCATGAATTAATTCCAGTAGCCATTTTCACACCTGGAATCCAGCACTGAATTTTTCTCTACAGACGCAGGTACATGTAGGAACGCAAATGTCTGATGTAGATCATACACAGCAGCTCCCTCACCTCCATCTCTAAACAACGTCCCGAACTGATTTACCCAAAAGATCACGTTTGAAAACAGCTGGTGACTTAATGAAGTGTAATGAGGCATTTTTAATGGAGAGCATAAGGTGTTACAATAATCGAGGCATCTTAAAGTATGTGTAAATTACTGTTAACATCAGTAATGTACTGTAGGATGTTCTCAGTCATCCAGGTCATGGTAAAGAAAAGCGACTTGACTTCTTTAAGTTTCTTGAAGAGGTGAAAGGTTATTGTAGGACCTAGTATCCTTACTACATCCACAATAATAATAAGCAAGACATTGTTAATTATGTTTTGGTTTTTGATTTTAAAACTGAGCTACATGTGTATTTCTGTGTCTGAATGAGCAACCACTTGCTCAACAGCTTTGTCAAGTGTGGTACGCAAAGGCTGATGGCCTCAGAGCCGTTTTTTTTTAACCAACAGTATGTCTGTACATGTTTGGACATGGACACATGCATGCAAATGGCCCTGTTGCCCACAATAATAGAGATAAAGAAAGCCAAGAGGATCTGAAGAGAGAAAAGGGGTCTAATCAACTGTCTTTTAAAATGGCTGGATGAGGATGGCCCTCTCCATAAATCTGGGTTTTATGGTTACTACAGTGTTCCTAACCTCCTGGGGTTCTTCATCTGCCAGCACAGCATTACAAGATCCCAAAGTAACCTCCTCAGAGGCAGAATCTCACAGTTTGAAAAAAATAACATCAAAATCAACCGCCATGGCCTGCGCTTCATCGAGCGTGTCATTCCTGCCTGCCTGAGCAAAGCATACAACATGTGTTTCTAAACTTTTTCAGTATTTGTCAGTGACTGTTGCATAAATTTAACATTGCAACAGTGTGAGCCATAATTATCTTTCCTTGTAACAAACCTTTAGTGAGAAGCCTTTTTCTCGTTTTCCAGCTACAGCCATTACACCACTAACTAATAACACTACCTTTGGATGACTGGTAACAAACTGCACTGAGTACTTCCTGTCTGTAGCCTGAAGGCCACCAAGCCTTTCTGATTCTCCTTTAATGTGGGGAAACTATAAACCTTATCTTTTCAACGGTCCCTCGTAAAAACCAAAACGAAAGAAAAAAAGGAAAATCAAGAAAACTTCCTTTCGATTTTGTTGTGTGTTGTTAGATGTCCTCAGGGAACAGTGACAAGAGGGGAGTCCATGGTGCTGTGGAAGATGGAGTACTGATAATACATCGTGTTTTACTCCATAAGATTGGGGTCTATCGTTGAGCCCCATCACTGAGGCCTGTGCTTCAAAGCTACAGGCAAGGAAAATTACAACTGCTGCACTTTTTACACTTGTGCCACATCCATTCAATGCATGAAACAGCAGCATTTTCTCTTCATTTGTTAAGGACATTTACGCTGAAAACAACCCTGCATTAAAATATTTATCCCCGTGTCAGGAGGACTACATAAAAGACTGACATCTCATCAACCGTCATTCAAAACAAACTCTCTTTTTACTTGCTTTCACAGAACGAAGGGTAGTTTAGTGCAGCACTTGCTCAAGTTAAGCAATTAGTTCCTGCCTCACTATGAAAGATATATTGATTCCAAGATTTCCAGACCATAGTCAATGTAAAGCTTTTGTGTCTTTAAAAAGTGAAGCCAACATCGAAAGGTCTTAAACAAACCAGCATGCATGTGATCGGCCACCAGGGGGTGTTTCCTGTGGTTGCAAAAAGTTTTTCAATTCCACAGAAGCTTATATTTAAGGATGAGGGTATGCTCTTTGGTTCTTAGCCAACAAATATCCTGTTCATTCCTCCCATGTCTGTCTTTTCTATTTGCCAAAAATCCGGCTGCTTCATCATTAGTCTCTTAATAGGTGGAGACACAACCTTGAAAAAGCTTTCTGTGAGTTTTAGCATTCATCTTTTAAAACCTATCATTTATGTAAGGCAAGACCCAAGGGCTAATGTAAAGACAGGCTAGGAACCTTCTCTTATGTAACATCCAAAGCATCAGCTGTCTTTTCAAAAACCTATTGTCCATATTGCTTGACATTGCTTGAGTGTTTACTGTAACCATCTGCAAACTAGTCAACTTGCAGTTTACATTATTGTCTTCAATACTGCCAGAAACAGGTTTTGTAAAGGTCACTGCAACCTTGACCACTAAATTCTTATTAGTTTATCGGTGACTCAAGATTCATTTTAATACATACTTTTTACAAAAACCTTATCCTGATTTATCTCTAACCAGGTTACGTACTCATTTTCTATGCTTAGCACTTTGCACCATAAAATGCTAAACATAATGAATGATTATTGTAGCAAACACTGTACAAATCCACACAAAACCTTTGCTTACCGAAATATCATTACAAGTCTTCTCATACAAGAGATAACGGCGATCAGGAGAGAGGCCAAAGGTATACATCTCCTTGTCTTCGCTTCTTCCTCCTCCACTTTTTGTTAGGGCTTGAAGAAGATCCTCAACATATCTCTCTCTTGGGACTCCTATGTCATTGGCTTCCCTTGTCATATCATCCTCTGAAACTGACAAAAAAAAAAAGCTTTGCTCAAACATCTTATTGTCTTTTAAAAGGCATTTTTCTCATATTTAAAAATTTTTTTCAAAGCTGTACACCTGACAGAAACTGGATAGAGGGGAAGGAGCAGATTACAGAACAAGAAGTGTAAACATTTATTATGTAGTAACCCATGAATGCACGTGAAAGCGGATTTGAAAGGAAGCATGCAGAGAAACCAAGGGGACTGTCATCAGCTGCTGCACAGCTGCTAACGTTGGCTTGAAAGTCCCAATTAGCACATGAAACAGAGAAATACTGACGAGCTACAAGCCTGCACGTAGCTGTCACAAACTCATCTCCACCTGTCATCTCTCCAGATGGACAGCAATGGAAAACTAGAGAGCAGTTATGTTCCAGATGTCCTTCCAGAGTATGGGCATTCATGTACAGACACACACAGGCACACACAGACACTCACTAGTGGCTTACTATATACAAAGACAAGCCTTGTAGATTTTAATCTGCTTTATACACCTGTAAGCTGCAGCGTAGGAGTGAAGAAGGATGATGAAACGAGGTCACGTCTGTCCCTCTTGTTAAAAGACCAACAGTTATAACACTATGATAATATGATAAGGGGGTCGGCCAGGTGCCTAGACAGCTTGGATGAATGGTTGCCTGGTGAATAGCAGCCCTGCTAACCACTCAGACTAGGTAATTAGAAAAAAATGAAAGTCTTTCTATTACACTTAAGCCTAAATTTAAGGTAATTTTCATCTATTCTAAACTATTCTTCTTACATCTCAAATATTTACCTTCTCCAATCCATGCTGAGCTGCCATTTGTAAGAGCTAATGTGAAACCAGCACCCAGGTCTATGGCCCAGTCCATTCGCAGGAAGTACGGAGTATCTGGATCATCACTTAGTCTAATTTGACAAACTGTACCGCTCATGTTTCTCACATATCCGAGACCTGCAGAACACCAAAAACAGAAATTCAGACACTCTAAACAAGAAGAAATTAAAATGCAATTTTCCGGCAACAATTCCTATGAGTGTTTATAACATTTTGTAGGTTTGTTAGTTTTGAGTCCTAAGACCTCCTTCGAAGACAGTGCTCTAATCAATCTGTTTTCGTGGTGTAAGATTGTGTTAATCTTCCCTTTGCATCAATGTGGTTCATTGTTTCACTGCTTGGATTTGGTAATAAAAAAACGTTCCTGTGTATGCCTTCAGTGGGGGTCTCTCTGAGTCAGTGGGACCACACGGAGATTAACATGTTTTGGCAGGTTTTTGTGTCTGCCTTGAAACCACCAGGAAAGTAATTACATGCTGTTAAAGATAAATAGAGGAATATTACTGAAACAAACCAGTTGTTTCACTGGTTTTATACAATTAGTACATTATCAAATTTATACAGTAGCGTGCAAATGCATCCAGCCAGCCCTCATTTTTTTACATTTTGCTTCCAAGGACCCAGACTCACATTTTCAAAGTGATCTTGAGCAGTAGTTCTCCAGGCTTTCAGAAGATCTTTCAAAGTTATTTTTTATTTTTGTTTGACATTGGCTGCTTTTTCACTCATTTTCAGTCCAGTCTTTATATGCCAACTCTACACATAATATGCAAGTTAGGAAAGAAGTGATTTTAAATTGTATGTTTGGGCATTTTGGTACTCGTAATCTGTTGCAAAACTCATAATACATCCGCACTTATTTAGATGAATTTACAGAAAATGTCAAAGACGACAGGCATAAAATAATATTTTTTATACCAGAAAAAAAAGTGATTCCCAAAGAGCTATACGGGAAAAAAACTGTATCTGAAAGTCATGTCCATAAAAAATAGGGGGAAAAAATCAGCAAAGAGATGCATCTGACCCTTCACTTGATTCATCTACTATTGAAACGGCCCCAAGTCTCAAGGACAGCTTTCAAGAAGTTATACTTAAGGAAGGGAAACAGTGAGAAAATGCTGAGATATGCCAAATTACACAAGAACTGGACTGAAAATCAGTGGCAAAAGGTCTTTTAAACAATGATGCAAATTTTGGTTCAAATCATCATCAGTTTGTACGAAGGAGATCAGGAAAGAGGTACAGCAGTGAGTGTCAGTATCCATCAGTAAAACACAGTCTAGACTCTTTCACGGTTTGGGTCGTTTCAGCCAGTAGTGTTGGAGGTCTTGACAAAACGAATGTAATTATGGATGCAGATAAGTTGGTCGTTGGTCGTACCAGAGTTACTTTTAAGCTTGTTATAGTTGTTTTTGCTTTTTACGCTGTAATTCATACATGTTTGCTAATGTTTCAATAAATCACTACATCCATTTCCCACTTTTTAAGCACAATATGAAATAAGGGATGCTTTTACACAGTTCTGTATTTCTTAATGGGAGCTTAAACTATCCTACTAATGCCAGAAACAGCCTGTTATTAGTTGTGAAAAAGTTGGTCTAACGATTACAATAACTTTAACGTAATTAACTCAAAAAAGGGGGTGGGGGTGTCTTTGATTGCTAGTAAACTTTTACTTGATTATGCATATCTAGGTCAGAACATATGATTACTGCTTCCACATCGAGTGAGAGGTGAGCTGGACAGTTTCCCTGCTTAAATACAGGGCAAAGTGAGTGGAGACGGAGGAAAAAGCAAGACAGCTTAATTGGCAGTTAGCCAAGCTGAACATGTCTGAAAAAATGAAAATGAGTGCCTTTGGACATTGTGCTTTTAGTTATGATGTGACATGTATCCCCCACCACATATGCTGACAGAGCAGGTGGTCAAGGTTATTCAAAATGAGACATGCTCTGCGCAGGGGGTACGCACACACCCTATTCACACACACAAACACATGCATGCACAAAGAACTGTGCAAAAAGATTAAAGTTGACCCTTTGTGCCTTACGAAGGGGTGTGGTTAGGCAAAGGGGCCAACCAAGACTAGGGAGCTGAAGGCATCAACTTTAACCTCATAAAGTGAGCCCGGCTACTCATTAGTTACTGTAACATCTGTTGTTCAGGGACGGTGACCCTGTGGTAATGACAGAAGGACTTCAATTAAATAAACAGCACTGCCTGTGAGGAATGGAGAGATACTCAGAATCATCAAAGCCAATACTGATTTCTCACTGTTAGCATCTGTTCAGTAACACAGCCAGCAGAGGCAATCATCTGAATTGCTTAAATCATCAACTAAAACTACCCTAGAGATTCGACACATAGCTTTTACGTTCTTTTTCTACTCCTTCTGTAATTTTTTGCTCAACCTTTTCATTGTCACTTCTTCTGGATTGCCTCATTCGCAAACAGCAAGACTTAATTCTGTTTAGAGGAAGTACCAGGCCAATGAGTCACAAAGAGGGCCTGTAATTATGCATCTTGTGCCTTAAACAAGGAGTTCATAAGGAGTAAAGAAAAAGCCAAGATAGCTGACTCTCTCCCTTGTGAGCCTTGACAATTAGACCCATCCTCTCACTGTACTTTCACTGGACTTCTCCTCCTGTTTTCTCCAACACAATAGGCTCAAGACGAAAAGGACAACTCTTTGGCAAATCCACTGCTTTTATGACCAGTTAGGGATTAAAGCAATGCTGCCCTAAACAACAGTAAGTGGGGCTGGGGCCTTTTGTTCGTTATTCTTTCCAGGTATTGGCTTCAGCCACTGGGCACAGTTACAGAAAATATAATATTTACTATAGTAAATCACGGCCTTAAAGCTAAAACATCTGTCTGAACTGGGCTACACCCTGATCATGTCAGAGGCAGACTTTGTGAAATGTCCCCATAAGCTAGCTGATAGATGCCTCTGCATTAGAACCAGGGTTTTAAAAAGTACTGTAATTTACCAAGATGCTTCGAACATATATTATTGCTGTCTGAAGGGGAAAATGTGATGCAGTGGTAATGGGAAACAACAAAAAAGTAGGACATGTTGCACAACATGACACGCCTTCACTTACATGCAGAAATGTATTCTGAACTTTATTATAGATTATAGATGCAAAATTTTCTTTTCACCACTGGGTAGGAAAACAAGCTGAGATTGGTCACAAAATAATGAGTACCTACAGTACTCCTATTGCCTGATAGGAGGGAAACCTGCAGTCGTAGTCTGACTTGGACAGACTGCAATCACTCTCAGAGAGATTGTTGAAGGTTTGCAAATTATTTCTGTCTAATTTATAAATGCAGACAGACTGCCATAAGTTTGAATGAGTTTTTGTCAGAAAGCACAACTCAAGGGGACTCAACTCAACTGGCTGCCAGCTGGTTGTATTCTGGTTATATTCCTGTAACACAGGAAGGTTACTGAGTGCAAATGTAATAGCTAAATGCAAATTTCTGTCTATATCGACAGCAACAGATTTGTGATTTTTGACAACTTATCGCAGCTAGTTGCTGTATTATCAGAAACACATTGCATGCAATTGCCAACTTGACTCCATTCGACCGCAGACTGATAGCAGACTGCCTCTGTCTTATGGCAGTGACAGTGTCTCATTTTGCAGCTGAAAAATAACTGAACTAATAACTTTATCTTATGAGATAAAACAGATGAGTACATAATTAGCAGTTTTAAAAAGGGGATTGCAATATATGTTATTATAATACTGCATATTGCAAAATGTTAAAAATCGCAATAGTATATCGTGAGTGAAGTATTGGGAAAATATCGTATGGCAGTGTGTCCGGTAAGTACCACTTATATTCAGTACTGTACAATAGTTTTCCTATACCAATAGCCCAAACTCTACTGATCTCTAATTCATTTTGCACTGTGAAAATAACCCTAAACCCCAAAGAATCATAAAGAACAACTATTTCTTCACTAACAAGAATTTAAAAAAAGTCCTGCAACAAAAAGTATGGTCCCAATGGAGCCCTGATCTCTACATCAATCAGCCACTTCAAGATAAAATGAAGAGACAGAAGAAACTAAAAAATCACAGATCCACTAAAGAATAGTAACTAGGGCCATAATGTATGTTAATGCATTTACTTCTCTTTCAAGTGAACATACTCACTTGAAAGAACCTGGACTAAGAACTGTGCTCCTACTGCTGGTTTTGATGACACTAAAACCATGGGAAGAATAATGAAGGCATGACAGATTCTTCATAACAGAAACCACTACTGCAAGCAGACATTATATGTTCAAAGCAAGCCAGCCTCCATTATCACAGAAAACGAGTGCAGTGGAGTTTTTCAAATTTTCTTTTGTTCATTTTCTGCTAACTTAATAATATGGTTACAGAAAAAATAAGTACTATTACAGTAAACCACTTGTTTTATAACAGAAACCTCAACACAAGTGGTTTGCAAAAGAAAGGTACTTTGTATTCTGGTGAAATTAGCCGGATCAGGTCGGAGCAGACATCAAGCACGCTGATGTCAGCTTGCTGTAATACTTCCAGTATCCCGTTTCAAAATAACCAAAAGTCAAAAACATCTTTAAAAAAATAAAGCTTGAGGACTGTTTCACTCTTGCAAATGTAAATATGGCCTGATTTTAGATCTCACAAACAGAAGGCCACACCAAGTCTTGATTTAACTTCAGTAATCAAATGTGCATGTATTGTACTGTAGCCAAAATGGATCACTGTAAACTATATAAAAGAAAATAAATTTGACCACATTAAGAGGAATGTAAGCCTACATGTAAGCCCGGCCCATCTCTTTGTCTTAGGAACACATCTGAAGGCAGACATTGTCTTAGACAGCTAAATAATTAGCAGTCTAAGACAATGAGCAAACAAATTTATTCTTCTAATTTCTAGGAGTGCTGAGGAGGGAAATGTCTGGGGGGAAATTTATGAAACACTGTTTGAATGCAATTAAGATGCTGCCATGGCTGGTTAGAGAGGGAGGGAACATCATTGTGAAAACTTTGAGAGAAAAGTGGACCACAAAAATTTCTCTCTTACATCACCAAGAGAGAAATATGAGCTATATAATGTAATTTTTTGCACATTAAACTTTAAAAACAAAGACAAGCACACCACGAATGATACCAATTAGCAAAGTATAGTTTTAACACATTTGTCTGTAGACAGTCTACACTACTGTCTACAGACTTGAACAACTCTCAAGTATTTTCAAGCTAGTACTCAAGTTTGAGGGTATAATATCTAAATATTGTATAATAATGTTCATTTCTATTTTTCCTTTATATGTTCAGAATAGATTTTATCATTAGCAACGAGCTGGCTCTGCAGGTGCCGACGTCTTAGACTTCAAATAACTTTATGTGTGCATTATTATAGAACAAAGCACAGTGGCATAGGCGCTATGGCAAGGCGCCGAGTCATTAGCGTGTTATAGACGACTCGAATTTTCCTCTAGTTCTTACAAATGAAGTACAAATTCTTCTTCGAAAACTTAGCACTATGTGGACCAACAACTGCGATGTGAAAATGAAGCAATTATTTTATGAAACTGATATCATTGAAGCACTCACTCTTGACAGCTTCGACAGTAGTTTCAACCTTCAACTCTTGTGCTTTGAGCCAATCAGCGACAGCGCAGTGCGTCCTTACGTCACGCAAACCGTGCTTCGCTTTCGTTACGTAAGTTCCAGGGAGGCGGAAGTGTGATGTGGCTTTGATTCCCATTTACAAAAATGGTAAGTTTGTTTTGATAAAGCAGATCTTTTTGATCTTTTGCAGCGACGTTTAAGCGTTATTTATCGCACGTATTGGAGATATGACCTGTATCAGTGATAAACTGTGATGGCAGCTTGTGCTTGTAGAACATACAGTAAATGTTAAACTACCGAGCTAATAGTGGTTAGCTGAGTTAGGCTAAAAGTTTAGCAAATCTAGCCACAATGTCACGTTTCCGTTCATGCTATTAAACTTTTATTTCATCGAGTGCGCGCACTAATGTGTCATTGGGAGTCGTTTGCTAAAAAAGTCAAGTTATCTCTGATTTTTTAAATACGACGAGTGCCAGCATCGTAGTGTTTTGAGGCGTATGCCACGTAGCTAGACAAGGAGCATGGACTACTGCCTGCATGCGTGGGTATTTCGAATTAAAACTCGTAAATGAATATGTAACCAGTGAAATTAATTGTTTCCATAAAGTAGAATTTTAAAGACGAGCGTTTATTAAGAGGGCCTAAATGATGAATAATGATGAAATGATGAACCAACAGAAACAGGGAACGTGGTTAATTATATAACATTTCATTTTTAAAAGTTAAACATTACGTGTACGACACCAGTTAAGTCGTTGTAAAATGATGCTTATTTTCTGTAACAGCATTACAGTTTGAGTTATTGAGGGATATTATAAATTCAGCAATAGAAGCAGTTCATAATCTCGAAGTTATTTTAAGGTGTAGACTTTAAATACCCCTGTTTAAATCCTATGTTAGTTCTTAAATGTACTTGTAAACTCATCATGCTCACTACTTGAGCAATGGAGTTGGATTAGAATCTATTGCAGAGTCCCTTGGTTGCTTTGGCGTACCATAAGATTAAGACAGTTATAAATTAATAACAAAGTCCTTCCTTTAGATTTACCTTTGATTTGATCATAAGTGCACATGCATTGTAAAATGAGGTGCACATGGTAAATATTGCCATTCACATTGCGAAAGACTGGCCAATATGATCAGCAGTTTTTCCATTTAGTTTCTCATCCTGCAGATGAACCCAAATTCCGGTCTTGGTTCTTGCAGCTGCACTACCAATCTGGTCTGTGAGCTAGCTAATATGAAAGGCTTGGACTAGCTGGTTAGCACCAACTGAACAAAAGAGTGAGCTGTTGTTCTCTTGTAACTCAGTGGTAGATAAAGTTCTTTCAAATGGTTGAATACAAAGATCAAAATTACTGGCAATATATAAGGTGAAGATTACTGGATAATTACTGTGTGGGTGTTTAATAAACCAGATTCAATTCCAAAACACCTTGTTTCTTAGATTAGGATGTGGACATGAGTTGCAGTTTGCTGGTGAGTTATGAACAAATACATAAATATTGATCGACCTTGCTTTTTTTTTTCCAGGGAAAAATAATCAGGATTGCTTCCACTAGTTAACCTTTCTAATCTATCTAGGCCAAACCCCCAATTACATTGTTCTGTAGAAGGCTAAAGGCTCTTTTGCAGTAGCAAATAAAATCACTTAGTATCTGAAACTAAGTTTGATTCATAACTCGACCGTCTTTCAATTCTTACATCGGTGCAACGATCTGTGCAGACATCTGAGTGCCTTTCAATTTGTTGTGACAGTGTGGATTTTTCAACTATGTCTACAAGTGCACCAACTGTAAATGTTCCCTCCAAGCAGACTAAAAAATGGTAGGATAAGAGCACTCATGTGTCCCTGGTGTCCACAGCTGTCCAAAGTACTGTCTGTGTGGTCTACAAGGTTTCATGTATTGACTGCCAATTCTTCAACATGTTTGACAAAAAGTGTGATCAGCAAGAAGAAGTGGGTTGGCTCACAGGTTGTGTGTGAGAAAAATACAGTCTCTGGGGAGCTAATTTTGTTTTCTCCCCATTTATGTTGGACTGTGGGCTCGGTATATTCACTGACTGTTCGATCTATATATGTGGTAGAACACTGTAGTAGCTATTGTTTTAATGCAACAGTTAATTATTCTCATAAGTGGCATGTCTGTTTCTAGTTTTGTTATTCATCTTTTTAATGTCTAAAACAGTTTTGAAGTGAAAATCTTAAGTGTTGCACCTTTTGATGATAAGGACTAACTGAGTCCATTTGGACTTTGGTCTTCATTTTGGCAAATCAGAGTACTGTATAAGATATTGATTGTGAGGGAGGTCATAATACCTTCTAGGCACGTAGTTGATTTTGTAAGTAAGTCTACATATGCACTTTCACTGTGTAATTCTGAATATGAGATTATAAAAAAAACAGATTTTAAGTTGAGTTTTTGACAATATAATAACTCTAAAGCGTTCTGCACAGTCAGTCAGCACCAAAGTGAACAACTGGCACAACAGCTATCTTCTCTGCACGTAGCTGAAGATCAGTATTACAGAAAACTGTCACGAGTTCACTTTTTTTAAATTGTTATGACATATTGTATTATGTCTGTACTAAATGTATCATTCTCTTTCATCTTGCAGTCAGCCATTTTCAACTTCCAGTCACTGCTAACTGTGATTCTCCTCCTGATCTGTACCTGTGCCTACATCAGAGCAATGGCCCCCAGCCTGCTGGACAAGAATAAGACTGGGTAAGATGGGCTACTTAAAAATCACCACTGACATGATTAATTGGCTTCCCATCTTTGTCTTTTTGAGCAGTATAAATGATCAAAATGACTAAATCATTCATCTTTTCTAAGTTCATTATCAGCAATAATGGCAAATTGCTTGATCACTCTTCATTTCACTATGTAATAATTCAGAATGGTAATCTGTATGTAAAGTATATTATTGTGGTTCTATAACATTATAGATCATCTTACAAGAAATTAAAGGTAAGGTTAAAACAGTAAATTTCAGTCTAATGCTTTCAGAATAGATGGAGACATTCACATGCATATGACAACAGTTAAATGTGGAGCCTTGGAGCAGTGTAGAAGAGTGAAAATTCAAATCTAATGATTCTGCAAGTTTAATCAGTGCTTGCTGAAATATTTCTACACAGCAGTCACTTACAGTGTTTCTGCTGGTAAAAACAGGAAAATTGTGGCTGGAGACAACAGTTATTGCGACCAAATGCCATGAATTTGCAAACTCATTATCTTTGAAATCAGAGTCAGTCTGCTATCAGCTTGCAATTAAATGAGATCAAGTTGCCTATTTACATGCTGTGTCTGTGATAATACAGCAATGAACAGTGATACATACAGGGAGTGCAGAATTATTAGGCAAGTTGTATTTTTGAGGAATAATTTTATTATTGAACAACAACCATGTTCTCAATGAACCCAAAAAACTCATTAATATCAAAGCTGAATGATTTTGGAAGTAGTTTTTAGTTTGTTTTTAGTTTCAGCTATTTTAGGAGGATATCTGTGTGTGCAGGTGACTATTACTGTGCATAATTATTAGGCAACTTAACAAAAAACAAATATATACCCATTTCAATTATTTCTTTTTACCAGTGAAACCAATATAACATCTCCACATTCACAAATATACATTTCTGACATTCAAAAACAAAACAAAAACAAATCAGCGACCAATATAGCCACCTTTCTTTGCAAGGACACTCAAAAGCCTGCCATCCATGGATTCTGTCAGTGTTTTGATCTGTTCACCATCAACATTGCGTGCAGCAGCAACCACAGCCTCCCAGACACTGTTCAGAGAGGTGTACTGTTTTCCCTCCTTGTAAATCTCACATTTGATGATGGACCACAGGTTCTCAATGGGGTTCAGATCAGGTGAACAAGGAGGCCATGTCATTAGTTTTTCTTCTTTTATACCCTTTCTTGCCAGCCACGCTGTGGAGTACTTGGACGCGTGTGATGGAGCATTGTCCTGCATGAAAATCATGTTTTTCTTGAAGGATGCAGACTTCTTCCTGTACCACTGCTTGAAGAAGGTGTCTTCCAGAAACTGGCAGTAGGACTGGGAGTTGAGCTTGACTCCATCCTCAACCCGAAAAGGCCCCACAAGCTAATCTTTGATGATACCAGCCCAAACCAGTACTCCACCTCCACCTTGCTGGCGTCTGAGTCAGACTGGAGCTCTCTGCCCTTTACCAATCCAGCCACGGGCCCATCCATCTGGCCCATCAAGACTCACTCTCATTTCATCAGTCCATAAAACCTTAGAAAAACCAGTCTTGAGATATTTCTTGGCCCAGTCTTGACGTTTCAGCTTGTGTGTCTTTTTCAGTGGTGGTCGTCTTTCAGCCTTTCTTACCTTGGCCATGTCTCTGGGTATTGCACACCTTGTGCTTTTGGGCACTCCAGTGATGTTGCAGCTCTGAAATATGACCAAACTGGTGGCAAGTGGCATCTTGGCAGCTGCACGCTTGACTTTTCTCAGTTCATGGGCAGTTATTTTGCACCTTGGTTTTTCCACACGCTTCTTGCGACCCTGTTGACTATTTTGAATGAAACGCTTGATTGTTCGATGATCACGCTTCAGAAGCTTTGCAATTTTGAGACTGCTGCATCCCTCTGCAAGATATCTCACTATTTTTGACTTTTCTGAGCCTGTCAAGTCCTTCTTTTGACCCATTTTGCCAAAGGAAAGGACGTTGCCTAATAATTATGCACACCTGATCTAGGGTGTTGATGTCATTAGACCACACCCCTTCTCATTACAGAGATGCACATCACCTAATATGCTTAGTTGGTAGTAGGCTTTCGAGCCTATACAGCTTGGAGTAAGACAACATGCATGAAGAGGATGATGTGGACAAAATACTCATTTGCCTAATAATTCTGCACTCCCTGTAGTTGTAAATTGCAAATCTGTGATCTACACACATATAAATTCACATTTTCTTCTTGGATTCAGATTCTAGCCTGAAACCCATTAACAAAAATTCAGAAATTCTTCCACAAATACTGATGTAGTTGCAGCAGGTCTGCAATTAAACTGCAGATTGCCATAGGTGATCAGCAACCATGCTATTATATATAACTGAGGGCGTTTTCACAACTATTGTTCATTTACTCTGATCCGATCAGTTGATGAGTTTGTAAACTTGTAGCTTTTCCCCGTGGTTTTGGTTTACAGAGAAAAGTCCAAGAGAACTCCAGGCGAAGTGCAAACTGTGAAAATATTCAGTCCATTCATTGGCCAGATGTGTCTGGGGCAGGAGAGGAGCAACAAATTAAATATAGGAGGAAGATGCAGTGTGAGAAAACTGAGAATTTACATTGATTTCTTGGCTAGTTGCTAGACCGTACAGACCTGCACATATATAAAACCTCCCCACATTACGAATACAAAGAATGCATTGCAAACTAATGTTTTTTAGTTCAAACTTGCAGCATACAGCTGGTGGTTGGTCCAGTTTGGGGTCAGATCACGCTCGCACCATAAACAAACCGCTCTGGTGCTTGTTTGGAAATGCACCGAGACCACCTCCTCCTCCTCCGGTGTGGTTGTTTTGAATGGCACCCAAGTGCGGTTACTGTCTTCACAACTGCACAAACAAATCTTACCAAGGGGGAAAATGAACCTGAGCTCAATTTAAACAGACTAAACAGCGCAGGTGTGAAAACACCCTAAGACGACCAATTGAGTCAAGCAGCCCATTGCAAAAAGATGTTTCACAGATGAGTTTGCTCATTGCTACAGACTGCGATTGTTTGGAAACAAGTTGCCTCCTACCAGGTGAGCTTTGCAATAGACTTGGAATCAAAAGGTCGGTGGGGTGACCACTTGGATACCACAACTACTTGCAATCAGTTCCAGATTTTTCCTAGTCGCAAGGGGATTGCTGTCCTCGTCTTACTCTGTCCACACTGAGCAATGGCAATTGTTGATAGACACACACCACCAATGATAAGTGAACATCCTTTAAGGTTCTGACGCCGTCAGTTTTCATAATAGAAATGGTGCACTTCAAGTAATTTACGCCTGTATTTTTGCTCATATTAAAGTCGTTCCTTTATCAAGTAAGGCTTGTCTGTCCAAAACACTTGGTTAATAAGAAGCTGCTTATTAAGGCCAGTAAAGTAGCAGAAGTAAAGCAGATTTTTATAATTTCAGGATCAACATTATTCTTGGCTGTATAAGTTCTGTAATTCATTTCTAATAAATCTGGCAAATCCCAGAAACAGTTTCACTCACATACACACAGCATTGGAAAAGGGAGGGACATCCTGTTCAGACAAGCGCTTGAGACTGAGAATGTCATATGGGATGATTTAATAGTTTTCCCCCTTGATTGATTTGTTGACTGAGGCATGAGACATTATTTGGGTTGATTTGATGCCACACATTTCGCAGATAATTCTTGTGTGGTAGGGAAAGGCACAAAATCTAAGGGGAATACCATCTCCAAGAAAATATGTGTTTTATAAAGAAAAATAGCAGTACACTCAAAAACAAATCTTAGCTTCAAGTGTACAAAATGTAACTGTTATACAGAGACAACTTTGAGGAAAAAATTGTACAATGGGATGCTGACACCATCTGGTGAGAATGAAAGTTTAAAAAGTTTGCTTTAAATGCAGAGACACACAGAGCTCTCAAAAGAAGTGAAAATGTCTCATTTGCCTCAGTGCTCAATCCATATGAGATGTCCTGCTGTTCGTCTTTTCCCTCTACGTTGTAAATTCCTCACATGGAACTTGACATCCGATGGCTGCTTGGGTTTTGTGGAGTACCTCTGTTGCTGTATGTGCACATATCATCACAGGTCTTTGAGCTTTTAATATCAGAGTTCCTGTTTGTAATGTTTGTAATTCCTTTACTTTTTAGGCTTCTAGGAATTTTTTGGAAGTGTGCCAGAATAGGTAAGCCTATGACTGCCCCATATAGTTTTTTTTTTACTTTGTCATATTGTTATTCATACATGCATGCAGAAATGTTTCCTGACAAAGCCTAAACACTGCACTATTGCATTTCTCCAGGTGAGCGGAAGAGTCCGTGGGTGGCCTGCTGCTGTGTCATCATGGCTTTTAGTATACTGTTCCTACAGTAGCAATCTAAAGAAACCCACTAATGGAAACATTGGAGAAATGGAGAGACACGAAGACATGGACAGGATGATCCTAGAAGCACAATAAGACCTCCTTTGCTTATCAGTTAGATAATGTAAAAAGAGAGACCTGACATCACGTACTGAGTCACGGAGAGCCCGTGTATGGAGGAGGGGGTTAGCTGATAGCATTTGTGTGAATCCCTCCACAGACTTCCAGGTCTGTACGTTTAAGTGTGTGTGTGGGAGGAACAAGTGTACCGCTTTTCTGTTATCTGCTATTTGTGGGATCAAATGATACAGTTTGTCTAAACATTTCAAACAGATTTTTTCCATCATTTTGTGTCACTATAAGGAGCTGATTAATCTGTTTGAAATTCTTCACAAAGAGGACCCCAATAAATGTTTAATCTGTTTACATGCTGACTTATATTTGTTACCTTCCTGTTTGTTGAGTTGAAAATGGTGGGTACAGCAAACAAAATGGTATTAAAGCTCTTCAGGTGTCTAGTTGTCCTACATTTTTGCCTCAAAGAGCTACTGATGTTTTTAATGTCAGTTGGTTTGCAGCTATTTATTAAAGTCCCTTTTTTTTGGAAGTGTGGTTTTAAGTTTTTCTTTTTTAACAAAGCTTATGATTCATGTTTTCTGCCACATTGTACAAAGTGTCAGTAATTATGACTTCAAACATGGTAAATACGTGTTGATGATAGATTTGTGTCATTCTTTACTATTTAAGTACTTATTTATAAACATGCAAGAATCTTTTTAGAGCTGTTTAGAGGGTCAAGAGTTCTGCTTTAAAAATCTGGAGAAAATTTAGTAGCCTCTGAAACAGATCCAGAATATGTTAGAAAAGTTACAACTATGTGTGATTGCTTATTTAGACAAATTCTGGTAATTTCATCTTTGAACTGTGTACAAGATAAATTGCATGAAACCAAAATTCCACATGTGACCACATCATAAAACTGCCTGCAACAAGCTTAAATTATAAAGTCCTTATGAAAAAGCCTTGACAAGTTTTGTCAGCCACAGAATTTGACCAATTGGTGAAATCCTAAGAAATGCTGGCCTGGTATTGTTTCAGGAAATAGTACAACTGCATTGTGGGTTTCTCATGAAAATATGAAGGGGGGGGTTAAAGTTATTCACACATTTTCTCCCTGTTTATGGGTACAGAGGATGAGACTAAAGAAGAACACTTGTAGTCACACACCCCCTTGATGAGTATCCAGATCCAGACTCCCTGTTAGAGAACATAGATCCTATATTGGTGTGCAACCGTTTTAGCTCTCCTCGGTTGAGATAAAGCATCAAGCCTTCTGGTAAATTTGTGATTATCAGGCCATGACGCAGATAGAGCAGACACAGCGGAGCAGTCCTCCGTTTCTATTTGGGGGAACAGAGATACTGGTACGAAGGATATCACTGGGTCAATGAACTGAGCTAATGTCTTGGGTGATGAAAGGAAGACACTATGGAAGAACTGATGCTCCTTGCTTCAGCTGATGATAGGAGCTGTTATCACTGGTTCAATTACATGTAGGAAAGATGGAAGAAATAACTCGTAAACTGGCGGTAGGCAGCTGTATACTGCTCTGGTAGGGTAATTTGGGGACAAAAATCAAACTAAACATATAATTGTTCTTTTCTTTTTGGGTCAAGATCATTATTCCTAATCTCCCATAAACTATGGAAACATTTGCCAAGCAATGAGCAATGAACATCTGGCAGAAGTGCAGTGAATTGATGCCTAAAAAAACTTTAGGACTTCGCTCACTTAATGCATGCTCTGATTTTTCTGTTTGAATTGGCTGATCAGGATTGATTAAAGGGGATGCCAAATGGCAAAGGGCACAAAAATAGTCCTGTTTCTTATGTCAGAATTCTGTTTTAAATGTCATCTGCTGAGCATCATTGCCTCTGTCCTTAAAAGTTATGTTTATTTCTCGGCTCCACCAGCCGCGGCATGGCAACCAAACAGTCTAAACTAACTGTGCTTAACAATGTGAAGCAAACTCATTTAACTGACTGCTAAATAAAATGTGATGTTATGGTGACATCATAAAGCGTCTCTGTCTGCCATGTGAACAGAAGAAGAAAAAAAAGATCCAAGTATTGATTCCCTCATGATTTGATGTATCGCTGTTCTAATTAGAAAAAATAAAGCTTTTACTATAAAAGGCCAGGATAGTGAATTCAAAGTGAGACTGTAAATGTCAGACATCTTTTTTTAGCATTTAAACAATAACAATTTTTGGGAGCTGATTCTACTTTTCAAAAGGCACCTTGTATCTATTTACAGTGTCAGAACTGAACGGATAAACTTTTAACTCGTGCCCTCAGTATTTAAACAATCCTAGTTACAGACTTGCTATTTCTGTATATCCTATACAAAGTTACAGTTGTGGTCAGAAGTTTACATTCACTCTTCATGGGCATGAATGTCATGGTAATTTCGGGGTTGTAATGATTTCTTTGAACTGCTCTTTTTTCTAGGGTGCAATGATTGTAATCACACATCTTTCATGACTTTAAAAAACAAGAATTTGGTATACAAGTTTGGATTTACATTAGATTTTCTCTAATTCACACAGGGTCAAAAGTTTAGATACAGACTCACTCACTTAAATCTTTTAATAAATGATGCTGAAGGTTCTATTAAGAGTGTTATTTTGACAAAGCCAAGGCATATTAACTTCACATTGGTGATCATGATTTATTACAACTGGTGCTTTCTGTTTGCCAGCACAAAAGTGATTTGTTTTGACGGTACTAAGAACAATGGGAAAGTCCAAGGAAGTTGATATAAGAAGAAGAACTGTGTATTTTACAAGTTGGGAAGATCTCTTGGCGCCATTTGTTAATGACAGGGTATTTCAAGATCATCAGTTTAAACAATGATGTGTAAGTATAAGTTATTCAGACCTAAACTGTCACCCTCCCATGACAAGAAATGTGTTAGGATGTCCAAAAACAGCCCAGGAACCACCAAGGCTCAAACATGCTGTAAACTGCTGGAACACCAGCGTCACTGTCTACAGTCACTATGGACTGAGAGGGCGCTGACCAACAAAGAACTTTTTACTGGTCAGATGAGATTGAGCTATTTGGCCACAATAACAAAAAGTATGCTCAGAGGAGTAACAGGAAGGCTTTCAGAACACTATACAAGCTTTAAAGCACAGTGGTGGTAGCATCATGCTCTGTGGCTGTTTTGCTGCCACTGATGCTGGTACATTGCAAAAAGTGGATAGAATAGTGAAGAACGAAGACTACCACCAAATTCTTCAACTTCATTTCAAATCAACAGCTAGACAGTTGAAACTTGGACACAATTGGATGTTCCAGTAAGACAGTGACCCAAGACACATATCAAAACTGGTCATAGAATGGATAAAGCAGGCTAACATTAAGCTTCTGGAATGGCCTTCCCAAAGCCCTGAGCTCAGCACTATTGAGAATTTGTGGACTATGCTTAAAAGTGGGGTCTGTGTCAGAAAACCAACCAATTTAAATGAACTGTATCAATGCTTTCATAAACAGTGGTCAAATATCCTACCAGACTTATGCCAGAAGTTTGTTGATAGCATCTGGTTACTGTGCAGTTTACTAAGTGACGTTTATCCAAATATTAGTCTGGGTGTATGTATATATTTGAGCCTGTGTGGATTACAGAAAAACCCCATTCAACCTTTTTGGACCCAATTCTTGCTTTTTAAAGTCATCTAAGATGTATCCTGTACAATCAGTCCACTCCAAAAAAAAAAAAGAACAGTTCAAAGAAATCATTGCAAGCCTAAATTTACCATAACATTCATACCTATGATTATCGTATCTTAACTACACTTGCATATTAACTTTTAAAAATATATTTAACCTTTGTAAACCGGCAAAGTTAGAGGAGTAGCCAGAGACATGTATTGAAAGGCCATTAAATTTAGACATCTATTCCAAAATCCCCCTTCTACCTTTCAATGGAAATGAAGTTAAAATGACTGAAAATAGAACTCACTGATTTCTGGTTTTGCTTGTTTGTTTGATTGGTGAGGTATTTTTTTCATTATAATGTTTCTGGGCAATGTAAAATTCATATTAATATACTATTGTGTTTTCCAGAATTTTCCCTCAAGAGAATTTTGTAATAGTTCACATCATAAGTACTTTTTTGACATCATTAGTCAACAAGGAGAATATTCAAAGCACATTACTCTAATTGTGTTGCCTCTGTCCTCCTTTGATCATATTGGAGAGGTTGCTGTCATTTTGTGGACTTCAAAGGCAATCAGGCCGTTAAAGTCTTTGCCATCTCCTGCTGAGCAAACCAGAAGTGTCCAAACAGACCTTGACCCTTAAAATCTTCAGTGGAGCCTGTTTGAATCAGTTCTGTAAAGGAAGGTAAAGATGAATGGAGAGAAAGAAAGCTGCACAGGAGATGGCCGGAGGGTGAGAATGTCAGCAAGATAATGACAGGGAGTAAAGGAGGGAAACATTCACGAGTAGTGGATTATTCCTTATTGGTGTATCTCTGTGATCAGTCTCCCTTTGGCCCTATATTTTCTTTCTTGATTATATATCTAAAAACCTGAGGCTTCTTGGTTTACTGATACCTACGGGGGTAATTTCTCTCTTGTGGCTGCTTCTAGCTTGAGACACACAACCAAACTTTTAGACATAAAGGATTACAAAGGCTTCATTATTATGATTAAAAATGCTTGACATCACATTCTTTTTATAAACCCTTTGTTCTGTCCTCACTTCTTCATTAGAAAGATCCAAACTGTTTTCTGCCCACGAGAGCACAAATGACAAGTAAACGACTTTGGTAGCTAAAGGACACCAATATCCTCTAAGTAGGGCAAGTCTGGGTCAGTCACCTGCCTGATGACAATTTGTGTGAATGATCCCATTGTGGACGCTGGATGTTTTAATCAGGTATGTACTTGAAACTTTATTTTATGTAGAGTCAATATTTTTAATCACTCTAACGTCTTCCACATGCAGTCATTTTTACCAGCAATGCTATAAGGAAAATTTTTAACTCACTCCTGTGGCCACTGTGGCCAATATGTGTCTCCTTTGAAGGTGGCACAGTTTCTTCATTGGGACATCTCAGCCTGGCTTGTTAACCTGCAGCAGGAGGAGTCTCTGCACGCCAAGGTAGTTCCACAGATCTGGAAAGCCCAACATCTTTGGCTGAGTTAATAATGACATGAAGTAAACATTCACTGAAAAGTGACTTCATAACCAGCCAAATTAAACAACAGGAGTTTGAAGGTTTACAGTGTGGTTTTGACCACTTGTGTCCACATTTTGATTAAAGTGTTCCCATTTGCAGTGATACTGGCTCACTTGCGTGAGTCTTTGCATATTAATATAAAGTGGAAACACTGGAAATTATATGTAGCCATTTGGA